ATAATTTTCAGGTTTTAGGGAACCCTTGCTAAAACCAATTTATTGGGAATAAGTGACAAAAATGCTTCTTACAATGGTGACCAGTGAAAATATTGAAAAAATGTAATTCCCCCTGTAATGGTGGTCAGAATTCCACGCTTACAGACAGCTGAAAATATCATTGGGTTCATGCTGCAGGCTCTGCCAAGTGGAGCCTTGGAATGAGTCACCATTAAATGAAAGGTCAAATCGATAACAACCCAAAGAACCCTTATCAACCTCTGGAGGAAACCTAGAGTTCCATGGAATCCTTGTTGGGAATGGCTTTGTTAGATGCTCTTCCCAGTGGGGCCCCCCAGCTAGGAAAATGTCTAGTGAAGGAGATTCAGGGCTGAAGCCACAGGTGCTGGATGTGCTTTCATATTCGGCTCCTGTGAGTACAACAGCTCAATTAGGTGACAGCCACTGAAAAAAAAAAAACGGATCCTCCATCAACACAGGTGAGGTGGATGGAGGACTCGTTCCTGCTGTGTCATTGTATTCTGACAGCAGGGCCTACTACATTGTCAGAATACACTGATCATTGGCTCCAGCCAGCTGATCAAGAAGTGTTTTCATCATTTCATCATTCCCGTTTAACAGAAGCTGATCATTAGATTGACTTTTGTCATAGCCATACATGGATTGAAATAAACCATAAGGAAATGTGCATGTACAGTACAGATGTGCTGCATTTCTTTTTTTTTTTTTCTTTTAACTTTGACATGCGCTTTACAGCTGAGGTTCAGCTTTACCCTCCCCCACTTTCATCAATCCTCATCTGCAATAATTCTGTGAAGCTGCCCTTTAAATTATGTTTCCTCAGCCAACATCATCTAGTCCAGTTCTCCATCCCTGTAGAAAAAAAAAACATTCTCTTTTCTTTAAAGATAATTGCGCCCTTTCATTGGTTTATTTTAGCTTGAATAAAAGTTTAAATGTATTCAGGGGAGAAGTGGAAATAACACTATACAGTAAATATATATTTAGTTCAGTTTAGCAAATTACTGTCATGTAATTAATGTCATGTACTAAAAAAAGAATGTTTCCCTATGCCATCATCACTGCGGTTTCTACATAAAGAGTGAATAACAATGCAGTGATGAGTCACCCTATTCACTAAAGACTTTACAGCATGATAATGAGCTTCCATTGCATAAAATAAGAACAGAATTTTTCTCCAGTGGCATATATTTCCTGTTCGCCACTGTGCTCTGCACAAGAGGATGACAGTAAGGGACAGACCTAGAGACTATAGGACCTTACAGAATAGAATAGCAGGTCATCCCCTCCTACTTTATGACAATTACTACCAATATACTCAATGGAAAAACTACCACCAGAGAAGAATGTTGGAGCCTTGGAGAATATTAGTGGGACCAGAGGGGGATTTCTCTTGCACCTTCCTGCTAGAAGCCAGTTCTTTATATCTGGTGGAGTTCTGCATAGAAACCAACCAGCTTCCCTTTTTTTTTGTCAAATGGATATGTGAGCGGAATGAAAGAAAATATGCCAACATTCCCATTGGACAGAAGCTGACCATTAGATCGACTTCTCTCTCACAGGAACAGCCACAGTTGGATAGAACTTCGTCAGGTCCTTGCTGAACTGACCAAGTTTTGATTCATCTATATCCAGCTTTAGTCTGCTGAGAAATTGGAAAGTAATGTGGGCCCTATGACAGGAGATCAATGGGGAAGCGCACTGCAATTGGTTACAATGTGCTCACTTAAGCTGGGTTACCATGGCTGAGAATGGGCTGAAAACAGCTTCTGTTGAAGGGCATGCTGGAAAACCAGCATCTGACCAGGATCCGATTAGCGCTGATCAGTGTGTTTTGGTAGAGGGGGGGGGGGGGGGGGACACAGCAGTAGAGATTGCTGCATTAACTAGATGAAAACTTCTAGTGTGTACCCAATTTTAATGTGTTTCAGAGGCTACATACAACCCCTGGCAAAAACGATGGCATCACCGCTCTTGGAAAATGCTCATTCAATTGCATATTGTGTAGAAAAAAAACTAATCAGACATTCCTCAAAACTATTTTCATTTAATATCCCAACCTTCTGTCTTTAAAAAAAAAACAAAAAAGCAGGAAAACTGTAGTCAATTGCAACTGTTTTTGCAGATCAAACAGAGGAAAAAAAATATGAAATCATATAATTCTGAGGAAAATATTATGGAATCATGAAAAAAAAATACTACAGTACTCCACTAGTACTTTGTTGCACCACCTCTGGCTTTTATACAGCTTGAATTCTCTGAGGCATGGATTTAACTACAAACAGTATTCTTCATCAATTCTGCTCAAACTTTCTCTTATTGCAGTTGCCAGATCAGCTTTGCAGGTTGGAGCCTTGTCATGGACCATTTTTTTTAATTTCCACCATAGATTTTCAGTTGGATTGAGGTCCGGACTATTTGCAGGCCATGCCACTTACATTATATGTCTTTCTTGAAGGAAAGTTTTCAAGGCTTTTGCCCTATGGCAAGATGCATTGTCATCCTGAAAAATGATGTCATCATCACCAAACATCCTTTCAATTGATGGAATAAGAAAAGTGTCCAAAATCTCAACATAAACTGTCATCTCCCCCGTACATTTACCAGACATGCAACCCCATATCATCAATATTTGTGAAAATTTGCATGTTTTCTTCAAGCAGTCATCTTTATAGATTTCATTGGAACGGCACCAAACAAAAGTTCCAGCATCATCACCCTGCCCAATGCAGATTCGTGATTCATCACTGAATATCACTTTCATCCATTCATCCACAGTCCATGATTGCCTTTCTTTAGCCCACTGTCACCTTGTTTTTTTCTGTTTAGGTGTTAATGATGGTTTCAATTTGGCTTTTCTGTATGTAAATCTCATTTCCTTTAGGCGATGTCTTACAGTTGGGTCACAGACATTGACTCCAGGTTCTGCCCATTTTTTCCTCATTTGTTTTGTTGTGCATTTTCTGTTTTCAAAGCATATTGCTTTAAGTTTTCTATCTTGATGTTTTGATGTCTTCCTTGGTCTACCAGTACCCTTCCCTTTTACAACCTTCTCATTTGATTTGTACTTGGTCCACATTTTAGACACAGCTGACTGGGAACAACCAACATCTTTTGCAACATTCCGTAATGATTTACCTTCTTGAAGAAATGTTATAATCCTCTCCTTTGTTTCAACTAATATCTCTCATGTTGGAGCCATGATTCATGTCAATCAGCTTAGTGCAACAGCTCACCAAGGTGTGCAAGCACTCTTTTTTAACTACAGACTAATTAGCAGATGTAATCTGATGCAGATGTTTGTTTTAGAACTGAAAAGTACATGGTAATACCACAATATTTTTCTCAGAATTGAGTGATTCCATTTTTTTCCTCTGCTTGATCTGCAAAAACAGTTGCAATGGACTACAGTTTTCTTTCTTTTTTATTTTTTTTTAAGTGTTTCTTAAAGCCAGAAGGTTGGAATGTTAAATGAAAATAGTTTTGAGGCATGTCTGAGATTAGTTTTTTTTCTACACAATCAAACAATTGAATGAACATTTTCCAAGAGTGGTGATTCCATACTTTTTGCCAGGGGTTGTAATATTGAAAGCACATTACACCCCACTGAAGCTATAGAGGTTATGCGGTAGGTGTCAGAGAGATGATGTGGACCCAATCCATATGCTATGGAGATGTACGAAATGTAATATATATTGCAATGCAGTTATCACTATGAAAGCTGTTTTCCAAACTGACATTCAATCAGAGCTCAAACAATGTGTGTCAGGAATTTTGGACAATCTTATGGTGTCAGAAAGTATGAAATCAGTCCTCTCATCAGACTACAATCCTTGTACCAAATATCTTCATTCATGTCTCTGCATTTTTTAATATCTGTCTTTATGGCAATAAAAATAAACCATACCAAAAGGGGAACATGAATGAAGTTGTAAACCCCCCCTCAAAAAACAAAAACAAAAAACATAAGATAGCAACACAAAATTTAATATATAATAGTATTAATATAAATACATAATATATTAAATGATCATTAACAGTAACTATGCAGACAACTATAGCAGAATTATCTCATTCTATGTTCTATACACATATTTGTTCAATGTTAGCAGCTACAATGCATGTAGCGGTTTAAACAAAAGGAATATTTTAACAAAGAAGTAGGAATTAACTATTTCTGGAAGTAAATGTGGAACCCTGGAAGCCCCTCCCCACGTGGTATATTCCCACTCACTGCCACCCAGATCAATCAGGGAACATAGGTGTAAAGATTAATTTTAGGAAAGCATTTTATTTAATTAGGCCAGCACTAATATCCATATACCAAATATCCATATATAGGCCATAGGCCATATACCTTCTTTAAATTCACTCTTTTCAGTCATGTAAATATGAAATATAGCATATTATTTTTAACTCCTTTAGACCTAGAAGATGATACTGATGTCCTTTTCACCATATACCTTTTTTGCTAATGCACTGCTGAATGAAGCCAATATTTTCCAGAACTCAATATGTCATCAGAGCAGAGTTGGCTCAGTAGGAGGCTTCAATCAGAGAAAGGGAGCTGCAAAGCAAGCAGTGTCTGCTGTGCTATCTCTTTGGCTAACTCATGGGGATCTTCTGGAAATTCTCTCATATCTCAAATATTTATTTGTATAAAAAAAAGATTGAATACGGATAGTAAAATAGATTTAAAACAATTTTATATCCGTAATCACTAAAAAACCCCCATCCAATTGACCGTTATATAAACCATTATAGTTTCAATTATAGTAAGTTATTGTTTATGCATATACATTTGATAAATACTCCAATTTTTTCACATCGGTTATAGAACAGATTTTCTGTTTGGAATCCAGAAAAGCATATTTAAATACACCAGAAACATTTAAATCCAAAAGATGAGTTTTGTTGACTAAATGTAAATATACATTCCATGAAAAGTGTCACTTCCCTTACTCGTTAATATACTTTGGTCATTTTTTTTTTTTTATGTCAACATTGTGAAAATAATTTCCAAATCTAGTAATCAGAACATGGGTTAGTATGATCAGGGGCGGACTGACAACTCATGGGGCCTCGGGCAATAGGGGATCATGGGGCCCCTGTGTCCTTGCCCAAAATTTAAAAAAAGCCTATGAAAAGGGTACCAGGGGCATCTCATGGGGCCCCCTACTGACCCCAGCAGTGCCCGAGTTTCCAAATGGTCAGTCCGTCCCTGAGTATGATAGTTATAGCAGAACTGTGGGCAAATAGCTAAGGACATATTTAAATGCATACATGTTTATTGTTTTACTTGCAAAAGGATTTGTAATTCTGCTCAACCAACCTTTAATTTAATAACCTGTAATTTACGCACTGCTACCAAACTGCATAGCCGGGCAGGAGACACATTATTGGTTCAGCAATGCAGCTTCCAAGGTCACTGCTCCACCTCCAGCCTGCTGAATGGACACCCACTCATCATCATCATTATTATCATTAAAGCTGGACTTCAGGCAAACAGCTGAATACACAAATAAAATACCTATTGGGAAACCATTTTACTTGCCAAAGGATTTGCATTTCTGTCCATCCAGTGAGATTAACATAGCTCTGCCAGAACCTGATTTTACTCTGCAGTAGTTAAGTAACACTTACAGGACTTGTCCATCTCCCAGCCTGTGACAGTCAATATAATTGTAGTTACAGACTCCGTTCATCTCTCTGCACACTCTTGAGTTTTACCCCTTTCCCCCCCTCTCCTAGTTTGAGCTTTGCTGTACAAAGCATCACAAGATGTCATTAAGGCAAATTTGGGTACTTACACTAACCACTTGCCCTCCAGAGGATTTATCCCCCCCCTTTCTGACCAGGCCATTCTTTGCATTATGGCGCTGCGTTACTTTGACAATTGTGCGGTCGTGCAATGCTGCAGTCAAATGAAATGTATGTCCTTTTTTTCCCACGAATAGAGCTTTCTTTCGGTGGTATTTGATTGCCTGTGTGGTTTTTTCTTTTTTGCACTATAAACGCTGACAAATTTGAGAAAAAAAAACATATTTTTTACTTTCTGCTATTAAAACAGGTCCAGTAAAAAAATTTTAAAAAGATCAAATTTCGTCATAAATTTAGGCCAAAATGTATTCTGCTACATGTCTTTGCTAAAAAAAAATCCCAATACGTGTAAATGAATTGGTTTATGTGAAAGTTAACAGCATTTACAAATGGTTGTATAGATACTGGGATTTTTTTTTTCTTTTTTTTTACTAGTTATGGTGGCAATCATCAACTTATAGCGGGACAGCAGTGGGCATTCTGACACTGGGGGGAACTGATTAACTGCCACTGACATTCCCAGTGACACCAATACAGTGATCAGTGCTAATAAAAAGCACTGAGACTGTACTAATGACACTGGGCAGGAAGGGGTTAACATCTGGGGCAATCAAAGGGTTAACTATGTGCTGTTTTACTGTGTGCTGTGTTTTTGTGCTTCACTGTAAGCACATTGCTTTGCATGGTTCTGCTATGCAAAGCCATGCATAGCAGTGTTCAGGAGCTGACAGGGGAAAGAACTGAATTGTTTACTTACAGTTCTCTCCCTCTGTCGGTAATGCTCCTCGATCACTGGGTGCCAGCAAGTAATCACCGTCCAGGACCTAGTGATTGACAGCCGAGGCCACGAATAGTGGTGTGGCCCCCTACCCGCAGATGCAAATTCACGTATATATACATGAATTTGCGCACCGTGCCGCCCTGTAGCCTGGCCTCATGTGGCAAGAGTATGCAGGCAGTTCCTGGAGGATGAAGGAATTGATACCATTAAATGGCCCCCACACTCTCCAGACCTAAATCCAATAGAACACCTCTGGGATATCATGTTTCAGTCCATCCGACGCCACCAGGTTGCACCTCAGACTGTCCAGGAGCTCAGTGATGTCCTGGTACAGATCTGGGAGGAAATACCCCAGGACACCATCCGCCGTCTCATTGGGAGCATTCCCAGACGTTGTCAGGCATGCATACAAGTACGGGGGGGGGGGGGGGGGGGCATACAAACTACTGAGGACCATTTTGAGTTGCTGCAATGAAATTTCAGCAAACTGGACTCACCTGCTACATCCTATTTTCACTTTGATTTTCACGGTGTCTTTGAATTCAGTCCTCTGTAGGTTGATAATTTTCATTTCCATCAAACGATGGGGCATCCTTACGTTCCTAACACATTACCCAGTCAGTATATATATGCAGCATGATATTTTTCCTCATTGAGAACTGAATGTTTTCAAAGTGTTCCTTTAATTTTTTTGTGCAGTGTATTATTGAATACAGGACTGCAATCATTTGTACCTATTATACCTGCCTGGTAATCAGCTTTATTCCTTTGGCAGGTAAAACAGTAAAAATGTGTACTTAAACATTGTGTGTTTCACTGTTTTCCTTCAGTTGCACTTAAAAACATTTTTTTGTATATCATAAAGCTATATTCTGTCTTCTTAATTGACTCTAGATTTTTAAATCTAAAGTCTTCAGAGCAAATAGCTGTCATTCTGCCCACCCTGAAGGTCCGAGGCTTCAGCTAGCAACCAATCATTCTTTTCTTAATAGCTATGCATTCATATAATCATTTCTGATGTTACACACAACCTATTTCCACACTTTCTCCTGGCCGGCAGGTGACAGGGCTCTCCATGTGTAGATTTTTCATAAGGCTTTTCTATACTCTACAATCACTGCAATTTAAAAGGTCTTTTCACCCAAATATGTATCGTAATATTATGCCTGCACTGATTCATCTAATTCATACCTTTCATACATGCTGCTGCTAATGATCTGCAGATGCACTCACAGCATGAATCACAAGCCTTGTACGAATGTGGGAATTTCTCCACTCCAATCAATGGTGCACTCCAACAGCGATCCTCCACAATACCCATCTCTAATTAGTGGTCACCAAGATTACGTAACGTATGAGTCATACCTGGAAGTGGCTGGAAGCAGATTATTCAGCATCCAATAAGGCACTGATGCAATTATACAGCTGCCTATACACCATTTATTGCCAATGTGTTTACAATAACTAAGGCTTCTGACTTCTAATTGGTTCAGGATCACGTTGAATGTCATGATGTTATGATTGGCTTAAGGTGCCGAAGATGTAAAGCTAACATCCCGATCTGGCCAGTTGTGGCTTGATTGGGTAATGCTATCTACAGATATTCTAAATTCGAAATATTCTATCCCTACACAACCCCCCACCCCACCCAATCACCCTGCACACATTGCAAAAAAGCGGATTGTTTCCACTTTAGCAAATGACCCCTAATGCTGTTAAGCTGTAGAGCTTACAGCTGAATTGGTCTTGTGTAACAAGAAAACAAAGTTCCCATTCAGTATAAAAGCACCTTAACAGCTGTTTTTGACAGCTAAATATAGAACAATTTATATACAGTGCATGTATAGGGCTGTCCATTAAGGTTGCCTTTGGAAGTAGAATTTCTTAACTACTTAGAGAAGAGGAGAAATTCCCTATTTGCGGATCTTTAAACCACATCTGGAGGACAACAGTGCTGCTTCCGCTGTTGTAGCAGTCCTGTGTGTCTATTCAGGTGACTCCTTGCGAAACAATTGAGTGTTTGGTTATTTATGGAACATTGCCATGGCTCCTTTTCTCAATGTCCTGAAGTGACTGATGTCCTCTTCTGTTGTTCTGTGTTATAAAGGAACACACAAAACTGATTGCACCTATGATTGCATCCTGGAAAAAGTCTCAGCTCTATATAGTAATATTTATCCATGGAGCGTTCTTTTAGGTCTGGAGTTGTGAATAGGAATTATAACTAGGTCTTTTTGGGGGGATGGGGGGTGAAACACTGCTCCTTGTTTTATCACAACACTACTTTTTGAAACCTTTAAAGCAATATTAAATAAGCACTTTAACAGAGAATGAATTTACTCTGAAGAGGCAACAATGCCGAAGATTGGTGGCATTAGGTGGAAGATAAAGCAATAAAGTCATCAGGGAGAACAGCCGTTCAAATCCAACCTGGGCCTCTCCTGCCGTGAAGCAAAGTGGGAATCTCAGATGGTAAAAGAAGGCAATTTGTTATTATTTACTATAGTCCTTTATTTTTAAAGTTCTGACATATTACACAACATGGTACATCAGATAACAAATGGGGTGAACATTGAAAAACCCAAGCAAATGTTCTTAATGCGGAGTTCCACTCACTCAGTAAAAAAATAAAAGTCAGCAGCTACAAAAACTGTAGCTGCTGACTTAAAAAACAACCACTTACCTGTCCCACGATCCCCCCCGTTGCCCTCGCCGCAGCCCGTTTCAACGTCCGTCCTGTATTCCAGGAGGCCGGCATCTTCAGTGTAGCATGTCCCACAAGACTTAAGGGAGGGAAGGTAGGAGGACAACTCCCGTTTCCGATCGCCTAGGCAATTGCTCCTCAAAGGTGTCAATCACCTTTGTTCCTGTCCTTACAATGTTTTTTATATTTCAATTGCAATCCGATCCTGTTGTGAGACGAGTCGTCCGCTCCTGATTACCCCCCTGATTATCCGTCTGGTTGTTAAGCCGGCCCCTTCTGCCGTGCAGGTCTCCTATAAAATGGCCGATTGTCGGACTTTTCACAGACTTGATAAAGCGCATGCACGAAACATGTTGTCCCGGCAACCGGCCTCTTCCTTCTAAAGCTGCGGCTCCAGCGAGAGTTCCCCCCCCCCCCCCGTCTCTCCACATCGTTGTGACGTCATCCGGGATGCTGGGACGTTGGATACACGTGGTCCCTGCACTGATAGGCATTCTACTCTCCACTGCTTCCCTCTGAGTGGATGGGCCGTCCATCTTGGAACCTGGCTTCTTAAAGCCACAGGCTGGTTATCTATTTTTTACCATATGAATTATATTAACCTCGCTGGAGGTATTCCCGAGTGTAGCTCGGGGTAAAGTTTCAGCACCACAAGCAGTAACCCTGAGCTACACTCGGGAATACCTTGCAGCGTTGCTCCGGGATCCCTTCTGCACTTACCTTGTCCTTCGCTCCAGCGATGTCCCCCCTGCAGTGTCCCCGGCAATGTCCTCCGGTGGATGCCGGCATCTGTCTTCCGGGTTCCGTTCCCTGTGTCGTCAGGATGTACGGGGGACGGAACTGGCAGGAAATTTGAACATTTTAAAAGTGACATTCACTAAATTCACTAAAATCACATAGTATAAATTTCTGTATCAAACCATTTCACATATATTTTGTCCCGAGTGCTTTGTCCTGTGCCCTGCCTGCATTTTTACTGTTCTTTCTGCCTGGAAACTGAGAAACGTCCATGGCGTCCAAAAAGCTTCCCTTTAGGTCAAAAGCGGTTTTAGACCAGCTAGAGAACAGCGATAGTAAATTAGAACTACTTGCAGAATTGAGTGATAATAATGATTCGTGGGGAAATTCGTCATCAGACACTGAAAACGATTTTGCGACTTTGCTCAGTGATGTGCGAACTTGGTGCTCTATTTCAAATTTCAGTGTTTTTTGGTTTGATTATATTATTGAATTAAATTTATTATATTATTATTTTTTATGATTATTTATTAAATTATAATTTATGATTTCGTGTTTCAAATTTTAACATACCCGGGATGTTTACTAGACTCTTGTTTGGACAGATTTCAGTGAGTTATTCCTAAAAATTACAGGCCTACAATAAAAAAAAAACTACATATTTCCATGCAAAAAAAAGGACCGCTTTGAGCACAGAAATATGGACATAATCAGACGGCTAGGGAGGCTACAGGCACACCTCCATATAAGGTGTATTACTTTTATCACAAAACTACACAGCGCCTGGCTCCTGTTTTTTTGTACATGACACAACTATGTCCTATTCAGTTTAAGCAATATGTCTTGTACATCTTATTTTAGTGTTGTGATGAAAGTGTTTGGTTAATTGGTAGATACTATGATATCTGTTATATGGTCATAACTATGTAGGCCAAGCTGTTGAGTTCAAGTGTTTCCAGTGAAGGGTACTGGTAATGCTACAAAGACATTTTAGTGAAGCCTTGTAGTACCTTCTCTGTTTTATCCTAGCTGCTATACATGACTTTGCTACTTTTTGCCACCCGCCAAATCTGCTTTATGACTATGCATGTATACTGGACAAACTTTTCCTGCAACAATGTCTGTAAATATTAACTACTTGCCCTCCTGAGGATTTACCCCCTTCCTGGCCAGGCCATTTTTTGTGTTACGGCACTGCATTACTTTAACTAACGATTGCGCAGTCATGCAATGCTGAACCCAAATTAAATTTACATCCTTTTTTCCCACGAATTGAGCTTTCTTTCAGTGGTATTTGATTGCCTGGGTGTTTTTTATTTTTTGCACTATGAGAATCCACAATTGGTTTCTATGCAGAAGGGAGTCTGATTTTGGACTCTCCAGCTTTAGTAAATAAACCCCCAATTGTCTATAAGTTTTCCAAACGTCCCATTTTGTATCGAAATAAGTGCATCCTATCCAGTAACGTAAAGTGAATACGTTCCATGAGCATCACCACATTGACTCTTCGTAAAATTGAGGCCAATGGTACCGTAGGTAATTTCCAGTGAAGGGCAATGGCCCATAGGGCTGAGACACAGATAGTGTGAATCAGCCTCATAGCCTCAGTCCGTATTCCTGGGATATGGGTTCCCAGTAGGCAAGTCTGCATAGGCAAATGCACCGGGGCATCAGCCACAGCAGAGGCCACTGCAGAGATCTTACTCTAGATCACTGAAAGGCCTGAACAGGCCCAAAATGTATGTACAAGAGTGCCAGTATGGCCACAAGCCCGGAAGCAAAGATGGGACATCTCTGGGAACATGATGTGTAGTCTAGAAGGGGAATAATACCAACGGGTTAATACTTTAAGGGCCGTCTCACGGACAGAAAGGGATCTAGAGCTCTTACGTATGTTTATCCACCATGGAGTCCCAGTCCTCCATGGAAAAGGTGACACCACTATCAAATTCCCATTTCTGTCTATGTAAAGAGGGTGAGGGAAAGGTAATTGCCAAAAAAAGGACGGTACAAGTCTGAGATAAGGCCCCAACCCCTAGGAGAGTCACGGCTTATACGTTCCAAAAATGTAATCGGGGAAGAAGGTATCAAATCAAAATGTGAATTGGAAAAATGTCTTATTTGTCCATAACGATGTAAATGTCTTTTTTTAATCCCCGTACACATGATGAGAATATCAGGTGAATGATGGCCCGTTATTTTTTGCATGCTAGTCTCTTATCGAAAATGAAGAGGTTACTAAAATTGAAAAAATTAAGAAGTTACGAAAATTCTTGTACGACAATAAAAATTTGAAAGTGATATAATGTTCTGTATTTTATTTGTATTGTATTTTCGATCAAAAACTGTACTGATTAAACAAAAATCGTATGATCTGGTATCGTATGAAAACATTTTCTTGCTTGTCCCTTCAAATAATTTTGGACAAAAGCTGTGTACTAACAATCAGATTATCCTACGATCACTTTGAAAGCGGTATATTGCAGTACGATTCTCTGATCGTGTGTACTAGGCTTTAGGCTTTTTAGTTTGACCTAAAAATCTGTCCAATACCACATTTCTTATCTTAGGGTGTCTTCACGCCACAGAGGCACGCTGGGACAGTGGTATTGTCAGGGGGGAGGGTAGTGTTAGAGGGACTTTTAGTTAAAAGAACAAACATGTTACACTTATCTGCTTTATACAATGCTATTGCACAGATTGTCCCCGACACTCCTCTTCTGAGGTCCCCTGCCTGAGCTCTCCACTCCGTCTCTTCTCCATCTGCTCCCATAACAAGCTGTTTGTTACAGGGGCAGATGTTGAAGTCTCCCTCCTGAGTTGTCCTGGGTGTGTCTATAGACACACATAGCACAGCTAGGCCCCACCTCAGGCTCCATCCTCTCCGGATTTGATTGGCAGCAGCAGAAGAGAACACAACAGTTATAGCGCAGGTACACTTTTTGATATTCAATGGCACAAAATAAGGTAATAGTACACTGCCACCATGAAGGTCCCACTCTTTTCGGGTATCCTGCCTGCCTCAAGGGTCCCAAAGAGAAGGCTCCCTCTCACAGTTGAGCATCCATGGTTCAGTCCTAAGCTAGTTCATCCTGCTCACTTAGGTGTGTCCAGCACTCTCACTGCCAAGTGCAGACTGTTTCCTCTTGTTTTTCTGGACTCGGAGGCATCTGGGTTAACCCCCCAGCACCAAAGTCTCTGTTATCGGGGTTTGCAGTTTCTTTCCACCCAAAAAAACTTTGAAGCTTTGAAAATACAGGTCCCGAATATGGAATTACTGAAAGTCAGTCCTCCCCTCTTTAGCCAGACTACCCCAGAACTCCTCACCCTGCATTGGTGAGAACCCTTGAGTACTCATCATTACCTTCAACTACTCCCCCTTAAAGGGACCACAACCCAAATAATAGGGAAATATATCTGCCGGGGACCCATCTCTGGCATTCTGTACACCATGGTAGAACACAATGCACCACAATGTAGCATGCCAGCGTATGTGTGTTTAACTGCGTTCCCCGCAAACTATGCAACGGGAGTGAACAGCCCTGATTACACACCTTTAGACATCTTCCATCTCTACGATATAGACATTAAATTATGAAAGACAAAGTACAATATCCCACTCAGGGGCGGACTGACAACTCATGGGGCCCCTGGCAATAGGGGATCATGGGGCCTCTGTGTCCTTGCCCACACTCAAAGCACACCCAAAAAAGCCTATAAAAAAGGTACCAGGGGCATTTCATGGGGCCCCCTTCTGACCCTGGGCCCTCAGGCAGTGCCTGAGTGCTCGAATGGTCAGTCCGCCCCTGATCCCACTACAGGAACCACGCCATGCTAATTTCTTGACTTAGGGAGCAGTCTTCCAGCAGTCACTGGCAAATCTTCGCACACTCAAGAATAAGCTCCAATTGGAGAGAAACGTGTTATTGCTTACATGCACTAGGTGGAATTATCTGTACTATGTACTCTAAAGTCCCATACACAGGTTGTGAATATCACATGAATGATCGTCTGGTTTTTGTTTCTTTTTTTGCATGCTAGTCTCCATATCGAAAAAAAGGAGTTTACTAAAGTTATGAAAATTCTTGTACGACAGAATAAAAATTCGGGAGTGATGTAATCTATTAAATTTTTGTTGTATTTTCAGATGAAAACTGTACTGCTTAAACAAAATCATACAACCTGGTATCGCAAGAGAAAAAGTTTCGTGCTTGTCCCTTCAAGTAATTTCAGACAAAAGCTGTGTACCAACGATCAGATTATCATACAAACGCTTCGAAAGTGGTATTTTCTTTACAATTTTCTGATCATGTGTACTAGGCTTTAAATGAATTGAACTAAAGGTTTTTATATAGAGAGTGGCTTCCCTTTCCTATGGATAGTTTGAGTATAGACACAAAATCTATGGCATTTCTGATCAAATTGGACAAAGATCTAAAGTTGGCTATACAGCTGGCGAAATTTTAATTCCAATTTCTGTTAAATCGTGAAGCAATCAAAAACATAAAATTAAAGTTTCAATGGCAAACAGATAGGATAAAAATGGCCTCTGTTGTACTGTAAAAAATAGATTTCTTCTAACAATACTGTCACATGCCAACACATGGCAATACACCCGCTCTATGTGAAGTGCATTGGGGTGCCATTCACAGTAAACAGCACACCAACATCTTCTACCTAAAGCTGGCCATACACTATACGAAAAATTGGTTGAAATTCCAACGATTCTACCAATTTTGTAATAATTAGTGGGTGAAAAATGATAATCATTTTCAACTTTTCAGAGCCAAAAAATCCATTGAAAAGTTTATTGAATGAATGAAGTTTGTAAGGTTATTGGATTTCATAAGCAGATAAAATCATTACATTTTTCATGCGCATGTGCAAGACCTGGGAGTAAACAACTCTGTTATAACGTACAATCTAGAGTCAGCGATCTGTCATCTACACAAATAAAAATTATACATTCATCTAGCATGGCACACAGTTATCAAGCAGGACACACAGTACATTTTCAAGAACAGGTTGCCATTTTTTTTAGTAATGAAAACAAAAATACGATAAAATGAAGAAAAATAGCATTTAGCAAACTTCATTGCAGTAAAAATCCATTTTTCAAATAACTGAAAGTGCAAATTTTTTTTGTTTGCATCCCCATAGACCACACAGAAGGGACACTGAACGGTCAAATGTATTTAATCACTTCTTTTCTAATGTGAACAAATCGACTGATAAACCAATAAACTTATGTTCACTGACCGATTTATCTTTAGAAATGTGATCACTACATGATGGCAGTATCTTCAGAACTGCCAAACATTGAAAAGTTTATCAAAAGCGCTATTGAACGATTTTTCGCAAGTGTATGGCCGGCTTTATAGTGTCTCTGTTGCTCCTCCATCCACAATGGAGGCACCCTACGACAGGAAGTGTGGCCCGTATCACCAGGTGAGAATAAAGAATAAAGCCTTAAAAGCAAAAAAAAAAAATAATAGAAATCAAATTCAGCCATCACATTTACAAAAAGAAGGAAGGAGTTTTGTAAAAAAAAATATACTCACCTGCAGGGCCGGATCTAGCCTGTCTTGTATGGGGGTGCAGTAAAAAATGTCATGGGGGCAGAGGATGGAAGGTCATCAGGGCAGTGTACAGGGGGTAAGCAGGGCAAAGCATAGGGTCAGTGGTTTGTAGGGCAGTGTACAGAGGCCATTAGTTTGTAGGGCAGTGTACAGAGGCCATTAGTTTGTAGGGCAGTGTACAGAGGCCATTAGTTTGTAGGGCAGTGTACAGAGGCCATTAGTTTGTAGGGCAGTGTACAGGGGTAAGCAGGGCGGAGGACAGGGTCAGTAGTAGATAAGGCAGAGTTCAGAGGTCAGGAGTAAGTGATGCAGAGAACAGATTTTGTTTAACAGAGGGGCATTAAGGGGGGATGATTAAATAGAATCTGTGTCTAGTCGCTGTATACACTGCACCTCAGTCCCTGTACTCAGGAAATACTCCTATTTACTATGTCACGAGTGACAGCCTCACAGATATGCATAAACATTAAAATGAAGGATCATTTTTAAATATTTAAACATTTCATTCACATTTGCTTTTCTTCACAAAAAGAGTGATTATCTTGTCTGTCTGAACCTGCCGCAAAGACTCTGGTCCCCATTGTTACCCACTCTCACATCAGGGTCCCTAGAGTCATTCCCTTAAAGGATGATCCCCAAGGTTTCCCTAGTTACACCTGGCCCCAGAGTCCCCCTTTACATCAGGGCCCCCCTTATCCTTACAATCAGGGTCCCAAGAGCCCCCTCCCATTACATCAGGGTTCCCAGAGTCACCCCCCTTGCATCAGGGTCCCCAGAGTCTCTCCCCAACATTAAGGTCCCTAGAATCACTCCCCCTTATGTCAAGGCCCGCAGAGCACCTAAATGCCTGTCCTTGACTGCTTAGCTGCACTCTAAAAAGTGAACCACCATGGATTGCTTTTCAGAGCACTTGCAAATGTGAACCTAGCCTAATACCAGTCACTGTAATGCCACCTATATTGCTCTCCTTTTAATAGGGTGACAATAAGCTGACACCTATGTAGCACAGGACAGCAATATAGGTGGCATTACAGTGCCTGGTAATAAAGGGGGGAGATGAACAAGCTATGTGCTGCATAGGCAGTTCTAAAAGTTCTAGCAGCTCCCTATTAATTACTGCTGAATGAAGACTTGATTGCTGAATTCTGCTCTTAAGCCACTCCCTCCTGATGTCACTCAAGATCTCTAGAGTCCTTGCTGGCTACCTTACTATGCGGGCAGGCTGGGAGGACATATATTATAATACAGGTGATCTCTTATTAAAAGGGGATATTGGCAGTCTTATGTACAGGCCTCCCCCTCCCACCGCAGACCTTAGGGGACCCTGTCTGAATCTGTCCCCTTATCAGCAGCCCTGGGGGCAGGAGTGCAGGAGCTGATGGGCTTTGGGGGAGTGGGGTGCAACTTAAACCTGGGGGGCAAAGCACCCAGCACCCCTCCATGCTCACCTAGGTGGATGCAGAATCGATCCGATGTTGCTTCTATCCTCCGCTACTTCCAAGACCGCTGATCGCACAGTTCTCCGTCTTTAGTTTGCAGAGAGACAGGACTTTCAGCTCTGTGCTCTGGCCCTCCAGCACTCACTGGAGCACTCGGCTGTGGAGGGCACAGGGGAGACTGGCTCTCAGCACAGTCCTGTTTACATTCTGGTACAAATATACACTATATTGCCAAAAGTATTGAGACATCCCTCCAAATCATTGGGTTCGGGTGTTTCAATCACCTGCATGGCCACAGGTGTATAAAATCAAGCACCTAGGTATGCAGACTGCTTCTACAAACATTTGTGAAGGAATGGGTTGCTCTCAGGAACCGAAACGTGGTACCGTGATAGGTAGCTATCTGTGCAATAAGTCCATCCGTGAAATTTCCTTGCTACTAAATATTCCACGGTCAACTGTTAGTGGTATTATAACAAAGTGCAAGTAACTGGGAACAACAGCAACTCAGCCATGAAGTGGTAAACCACATAAAATGACAGATCAGGGTCAGCGCATGCTGAAGCGCACAGTGCGCAGAAGTCACCAACTGTCTGCAGAGTCAATAGCTAAAGACCTCCAAACTTCATGTGGCCTTCATATTAGCACAACAACGGTGTGTAGAGAGTTTCATGCAATGGGTTTCCATGGCCGCACAGCTGCATCCAAGCCTTACCTCACCAAGTGCATTGCAAAGCAGCGGATGCAGTGGTGTAAAGCACGCCGCCACTGGACTCTAGAGCAATTGATATATGTTCTCTGGAGTGATGAATCTCGCTTCTCTGTCTGGCAATCTGATGAACTTGTCTGGGTTTGGTGGCTGCCAGGAGAAGGGTGCTTGCCTGACTGCATTACACCAAGTGTAAAGTTTGGTGGAGGGGGGATTATGGTGTGGGTTGTTTTTCAGGGGCTGGGCTTGACCCCTTAGTTCCAGTGAAGGGAACTCTTAAGGCATCAGCAGGGGCGGACTGACCATTTGGAAACTCGGGCACTGCCCAAGGGCCCGAGGTCAGTAGGGGGCCCCATGAGATGCCCCTGGTACCTTTTTCATAAGCTTTTTTGACTTTGGGCAAGGACACAGGGGCCCCATGATCCTCTATTGCCCGGGGGCCCCATGAGTTATCAGTCTGCCCTTGGGCGTCAGCATACGATTTTGGACAATTTCATGCTCCCAACTTTGTGGGAACAGTTTGGGGATAGCCCCTTCCTGTTCCAACATGACTGCGCACCAGTGCACAAAGCAAGGTCCATAAAGACATGGATGAGCGAGTTTGGGGTGGAGGAACTTGACTGGCTTGCACAGAGTCCTGACCTCAACCCGATAGAACACCTTTGGGATGAATTAGAGAGGAGACTGTGAGCAAGGCCTTCTCGTCCGACATCAGTGTCTGACTTCACAAATGCGCTTCTGGAAGAATGGTCAAACATTCCCATAGATACACTCCTAAACCTTGTGGACAGCCTTCCCAGAAGAGTTGAAACTGCTATAGCTACAAAGGGTGGGGCCAACTCCATATTGAACCCTACGGACTAAGACTGGGATGCCAGTAAAGTTCATGTGTGTGTAAAGGCAGGCTTGTGGCAATATAGAGTATGTGGCCTCTCGGCATTAAGGCCCACACGACAAGAGGCTGCGCATAAGCGTGTTGAAGGAGTTAAGGGGGAGTTGTGATTTGCATACATACTTGTGTGCCTTCATACAAGTGTAAAATACTGGCCAGTAATGCAAATTTTTGAATTTCTTTACTGATCTA